AAACAGAAATGCTACAGAGGAGTTAACATTTATACTAGCATTAAGAGTAGTACAAATGTTATACCTCATGACAGTACTGCTGCTGCTTACTTGCCTTTGCTTCATATATATTTTCTTTCCTTTTCTGCCAATGTATTGTTATTAGTAAAGATTCTCACATTAAACTTACATGCTAATCATATTAGTAAAGTAATCAGCACACAAAAAAATAGTAAAAGTAAGAACTTTTAAAGTTTCAATAAAAAACACTTATTTCTTTTGCTAACAGCGAAAGAAGCTACTACTGTTAAAATCCAGCCATCCAAAGATACCCAAGAACCTATGCAAAGGAATACAGGATTTGCCCTTATTATGCAGCAATTCTGGGCTATGCTGGTCAAGAAAGCTCTTTACACCTTCAGAAATATTATCCTTACTGTAACACAGGTATGTAATAGAGAGGATATTTCCTTGGAGCTTTGATATATCTTGTTTATTTATTTTTATGTTATATTAAGCTTAATGTTATGTTTTTGTTATTTTTTATAATATTTTTAGTCACTTGATATAAAGTTTTAAGTTTGGCACACATCAAATGATGCATGTCCTTGACCTTGACCTAGTTTTATAGTTCACCACCTTCCCTTGTATCCTAGGAATAGTTGAATCCCCAGTCACACACAGCACTAGATTAGTACTTGGGCATCTTAGCTTACTGAGCCAGTAGAACAAATGCAATATAACACATTTAGATTGTTGTAATCAACCCCTAATCATTAACCCAATCACCCCATATGGCAAGAAATTGTTTACCCAATTCCTTGGCAAGAATACATGCCATGTCCACTGTAATGCAAGTTTATTTATTGTATTAACACATAGATGGCTCTACAAGTGCTCCATCACCAAGGAGTCAGTTATTAGTCCTACGATCTTCCCTATTTACCCTTTTCCTCAACTTTTGGAAAGGGTCTTTTGCATTATTTCATTGTCTTAAATGTTAACAAGATTTTAATAACAATTTAATAATCATAATATCAATAACAATAATAACAGCATCGATATCAATTGTATTAATAAGGAAAACACTTTCCCACCATTTCAAGGAATGGGGAAATCAGGATCAGTAACTAGGGTCATCTGATAGACTCCTTGGTGGCTGAGACATGTGGAGCCATTTGTATGTAACAAAATTTACCAAAAAATACAGGGGCAAAACATAAATCCAGCTTATGAATGAATAAGATCTATGAAGTGTCTAATATATCTTGTAATATTTGGCAAGTTTCCTTCAGCCACACCCATAGCATCAACTCCAAAGCCTCACTCCCTCTTATGTCTGAGCCAATGGCATAGTCATGTTTTCCTGCCTCTCTTTCTGTAAATGAAATATAGTGAGTATGAAATACTAACTCTGGTGCTGTATGGTATATTTCTTCCAGCAAAACCCCAGACTTCTTGGATCAATCAAAGCATGTGTGTATGTAGTAGTAGATTCTATATTTACCATATGTATTTGTTCTTCTTTCTTTTATTTTGTTCTTCCCAACAGAATGTGATACCTGTGGCTTTTCTGATCTTGGCCTTGATTGTGGTTCAGACACTCCCAGGTGTGAATGATGCACCTCCTCCATTTATTTTTGGACTGGAGGTAAGATGTATAGGTATAGCCACTGGTGGTAGAATTATTGATCTGTATTATTTTTAGAATCAAAATTAGGATATGAATATGGGGCATGTGATATTTTTTCATTGTACACAATGGTGATGTCATGAAAGTTCAAATAAGTTTCTACTGTTTTTGTGTATGATTTACAATGACTTCAAAGATATTAGATAACTATAAGATGTTACATGACTCACCTCTTAAAGCCAGTAATACATATCTGTATGTACTAGGATTTTGTGCTGTTTATTTTGGTTCCACACAAATAGCTCCATAAGCATTTAGTCACCAAAGTTTCAACTACTCAGCCTTCTTGAACTTGCCTGTTTACCCCATTCCTTGAATTTTTAAGAATTTTTATTTTTATTTTTATTACTATTAATGAATTGATGATAATGAAAATGATAATGGTGATAATAATGATATTAGTGATAATAATAATGATAATGATAATGATAATGAAAATGATAGTCCTAGAAATAGAAACACTTCTCCTGAAATTTCAAGGTATAGGGTAAACAGATGAGACCAGGTAGGCCTTGTGATTGGCTATCTTAGTGACTAAAGATTTTTGGAGCATTTTGAGTGAATACAAAATTAGTAAAATGAAAGAGCGGTCAGTGTATGTACCCATGGTCAATGGGTTAAAAAACTCAGTAAGCCAGGAAAGACAAATATAGATAAGAACATAATAAGTTGTGGGATCTTTAATGAGCTAGTTAGCTGTTTATGACAAGATATCATTTAGAGAGAGATACCTTACACTTACTTCAAATTAATACAGGCTATAAATTCCACTTGAAGATAGCATGTGGCTATAGATTCTCAATTCATGAGATATTTCATATGTATTTACAGTTTACAAAATAAATGTCTAACTCTGACATGACAAGGAGGTATAGTATCTCTTTCCTCCTCTTTCTCTTACTTTGTCACAGTAGAAGTGCAATTTCCTGGATAATCTTTAGTCATAGGGCAGACTGAAGCAGTAGTCCACAAATGACAAATATAGAAAAGGATATGAGTGAAATTAAATATATTCACATTGCAACATATGTTTGATGCATTTTCATTAAATATTTATGGAACTTTTCTTTTCTTTTAATTTCTGATGATTATTTTATCAAAATGTGTCAAAATACATCTCTTGCTTTATGTGAACCTATTGATTTTCATTCATACCTTTTTCTAGTGAAAACATGCTTTCATTTGCATATACTGCAGAGTATAATATTATTTGGGCAACCATGTTTTGTACATTTATGAACTTTTACTTACCAAGTCACTTTATAAAGGGTAAATCTCCTCTTTACTCTTCTACACAGTACCATATTCATATTTTCTCGTTCAATTCTGAGCTCAACTATGTACTATGTAACAAGTAACCATATTGAGGACACTTTTTTCAGAATTTTGATGGAACAGAAACACTGGTCCAGGTTCAGAATCCTAATAATGATACCAAGAGTCTTGAAGACTCACTCAAGGAGCATTTTGAAAGTCCCAATTTTATGGAAATGGTAGATGAAGCACAGAACTTTTCCACAGTCATTTTGCAAAAGGTCAGTATATTCAGTTTCCTTGTACAGATAGTCCCCTACTTAAGAACATTCTACTTATGAACATTCCATACATACAAACAAAATTTTTAAAGTACTAAAGTCCAAAAAATTGTTTGAAAGATGCTAGCAAACTTCAAATTTCCCGGGCACGGATATAGTTCAAGAGTCTGGTACTGTATAAGGTATGTCGTACTTATTAGGATTTATTTACAGGTGTTCTTAATGTAAACAAAACTTTAAAGCAATGGGAAAAAAGGTAATGGAGACCCGACTTTCAACATACAAACAAATCAACTTACAAACAGCCTCTCGGTCCCCATTATGTTCTTAAGTTGGGGACTTACTGTATATCATATATTAGTCTTTTTACAAAAGCATATCCATTTTTTAACTGTCTATGATCTCTCTCTCTCTCTCTGTCTCTCTCTTTATATTTATATATATATATATATATACATATATGTATATACATAGATATATATAAATATATATATATATATATATATATATAAATATATATATATATATATATATAAATATATATACAAATATATATATGTATAAATATATATATATATATAGATATATATATAGATATACATATATAAATATATCTATATATTTATATATATATGTATATATATGTATATATATATATATATATATATATATATGTATTTATGTATTTATGTATATATATACATATATACATATATATATATATACAGTATATACATATATATACATATATATATATATATATATATATATATATTGCCATATACGTACGTACATGGCAATTGGTTAGATATATACATGTACATACACACACACACACATACACACACACACACACACACACACACACACACACACACACACACACACACACACACACGTGTGGAATTCATGCCAAACAAATTGCAAGAAGACACAATGAAGGGAAGTACAGGAAAAGACACAAATATGCTGAAGACCTTTTGGTATTTACTGCTTCATCAAGGCATACAGAACAAGAGATACTCAGAGTTATATATACATGTACTACAGCAATAGAACCAAAGAAGGCGTGGTCATTGGTGTCTTCCTCCAAGCACTTAGAATCTGCAGTCCAGAGTTCCTGGAGGAGAAAATGCAACACATCAGTAATACCTTCCAATGCCTCTGCTACCCTCACACCTCGCTTGCCCACCTCCAACACAAGGTAGAAGATCATGACCAGATCAAAAGGGGACGCCACACAGAACAAAACACACAGGATCATCATCCCACATTCGCAGCTGATGCAACACCTGGAGGCCTTGTTGGGCCACATGATGAAGATAGCCACCATGTCTGGTAAGAAGATTGAAGATATCCTAAGGGAAGAGAGGTCAGACCACAACAGACCTCTTAGCCAGGCGTACAGCATACCTTGCGGCGGCTGTGATAAAGTTTATATAGGTGAAATAGGGCGAGGCCTCCACAAACAACAAATCGACCAACACCGCAGTGCCCTCCAACGACATGACAGGAGGAGCGCCTTTGTTGTTCACAACAAAACAAGGCCTGCCCCATGACAAAGAAAGATAGTAGAAGCGGCATACATACACTCTACCAACAACCTCAACACTGCAACTGGGAGCCGTGAACTAGCCAGGGTTGTCGCTCACCTGATTACTGATGTGACCTGACTGCCAAGTACATGTATATGTATACTTTTGAGTATCTCTTGTTCTGTATGCCCTGATGCAGCAGTAAATGCGAAAAGGCCTTTGGCATATTCATGTATTTTCCTGTACTTCCCTCCATTG